TGCAACCACTCGTGTGTTTTTACACGAGCAGATTAATTTTTTTTTTTTTTTTTTATAATTTTTTTTTTAGAATTATAAGATGCTCGTGCAAAAACATGCGAGCATTTCAACAGTGCGCATGTGAAATCAGATGAGCACTGTTGAAATGCTCGCATATTTTTGCACGAGCACAAATTTTTTTTTATTTTTTATTTTTTATTTTTAATTGGGTAGGAATAGTACAAAAGGTAAATAGTTATGGTAAAAAGATAAAAAATCATGGTAAAAAAATGCCTGAATGTTTAATTTGACCTGCGTATATCATTACCCATTTATTTATTTGTTTTTTTATGAAAAAACGTGAAAAATAAAAAGAAGAAAGAAACAGCCTTATCTACAAAATTTCAATCCACTACTTCAACAAAGAAGCAGCAGCAGAGCACAAAGAAGAAGAAGAAGAAGAATGGCGAGCCTCTCAATTTCGAGCGTGATTTTCCCTTCGAAATCAAATCTCCCGAAACCCTCCGCCTCCTCCTCTTCCACATTCCACGGCGTCCGCATTGCGCAATTGTGCCCCACGCGGTTCCCCGGCGCGTCGTCGAGCCGTGCTCCTAAATCCTCCTCCGTAGTGATGATGGCGAAGAAGGACGACGAATTGAAGGAAATCAGAACCAAATCCACCGAAGAGCTTCACGAAGAAATTATCGATCTTAAAGGCGAGCTTCTGATGCTCCGCCTCCAGCGCTCCGCCCGTAACGAGTTCAAATCCAGCGACTTCAAACTTATGCGCAAAAAGGTAAACCCTCTCTTCTTTTTTTTTCGAAAATTGAAAATTGAAATTCTCTGTTTCATGAAGTTCAGATTTTTCTGTACTTTTTAATTAGGTTTATGGTTTTGGATTTGTTTTTTTATTTGTTTTGATTTGGAAGTAGTGAAAAATGCTCACCAACTGTTTGTCGAAATTACTAGCTCGGGTGGGATTATTCGATGATTAAACTCCTTGTTTTCGATTTTTATTTTTTTTCGTGAAATCGGAGAAGGTTGAACTATGAAGGGGAGAGGAAATGAGTTGCATTTGAAACACAAGGATTCAATTCTGAAATGGGATTCAATTTCGGTTTTTCGTGTATATTTCGAGTTGATAATGGTGGTTGAATTTATTAGTGAACGCTCTCTGGTTTATTCACACAATCGATGGTGTCATTTGATTGTTTTATTCACGCAATCGGATTTATTTGTGAATAATTAGGAAAGGCATGAATCGAAGTATCGAACTGGAGTTACTTCGCATTCTCTGTTTTATTTACACAATCGATGGTGTCATTTGTTGAGGTATTCGAGTTCGGTAAAAATTGCTCGTACTTAAGTTCTTGATGTCGTATTTTACCAAATAGTAATAATCGATCTTTCACAATACTTGGTTGCCAAAACTAAGTGTTGGATATCAAACACAACCTTAAACTGAAACGAAAGATGTAGCTTCTTGTGGGACGTGATTATTTTTTGGTTATCGATCGTATATATATATAGTTCTTTGCAGGCTATTTGTGTATACTACTTAGTAACGTTGTTGTGAAATGATATGACGAATAGGTGGCTCGTATGCTGACTGTAAAACGGGAGAGAGAAATGGAAGAAGGAATCAACAAGAGGCTGTCGAGAAAGCTCGATAAGAAATGGAGGAAAAGCATTGTACCTCGCCCACCTCCTTCTCTTATTAAATTACGAGAAGAGGAAGCTGCTGAAGAAGCTAAAGAGTTGTCGTCATCTGCTTGAGTTTCGTTTAGACCCTTTCATGGCTAATTAGCTCGTCTTTTCTTTTTTCTTTTTCTTTTTTCCACCATCCTTTTCTTTGGGTTCAATGTTTGATTTGCTCTATTTGTATTGAGCTGGTGGAAGAACCATTGTACCAGAGTTTACTGATGCTATTTATAAACTCAATTATTTTCTTGGAACCTTTGATAACAAATTTAATGATCAAATGATTAGTATATTAATTAATTATAATTGCTGAAATCATATTATCTCAGAAACTGGATATTGTAAATTCAATTTTTTTTTTGTGCATATTGCATAAAGGTTGAATATTATTTTTTATTGACAACGGAGAGTCTATTACTAGTCGGAGTGCACTAGATAAATTTCGTCCTTGGATAATAATTTGCGAATCACACACAAGAGATGTAAAAACTAAAAACCCATGAATTTATATTTATTTAACTATTTGCCTCAATTAGCCACAATATTTTTTTTAAAAGGTAAATTACAACCACCCCTGAGGTATGGTCAAATTATGAAAAAACACATCTTATTTGGATAATTATAATTACCCCTCAACATAATCATCTTGATTCCGTAGAATATGCTCTTTTGTACTCGTTTTGTGTAAAAATACAGTTTCTGATGCACGACAATCTGATGTATACAAGCTAAACACACATCTTATGATCATCTTGTATCAAAATGTGGAGTTCGAATGGGATAAAACGAGTACAAAATTGGGAATATTTCATATAATCTAAAAAAATTTTACTAAATTTGACATCGCAAGGGTGGACGTGTAAGAAGATTCATAATTAATGGGTGGTTGTAATTACCCAAACAAGAGGGGTATTTTTGTAATTTAACCATACCTCACGAGGGTGGTTGTAATTTACCCTATTTTTTATTAATAATGGAGTCCGTAACTAGTCGAAGGGCACTAGATAAATTTCTTGCAAATCACACAAGAGATATAAAAACTAAAACCCATGAATTTATATTTATTTAACTATTTGCCTCAATTAGCCACATTAATTTTTTTTAATAAGTTCATAAAATTCTAACCTCAGTCTGCTCATAGTGTATAACTTCCAATATTTGGACTCAACAATTTATGCCCAATGAGTAACGAAAACCAAAAACATGAGCCCAATATGTTACTTATGTTGTCGATTATTATCTTCCCGAACACAAAATCTTTAAAGTATTCTTACTCTATCCCACGCGCCTTTGTTGAAGTCGTCTTCTTCGAAATTACCACTGATTCCCGTTCATCGATTTCAGTACTGTTATGTAGCAATGTACATAATCAACTACAAGATCCATATCTATAAATCAATTGTGTTTCTCTTATAGTCGATTTATTGTTTCTGCGGTCTAGTATACAATTTCAACTATAGTATTTTGATAGTCGACTAATAAATCAACTATGTAATCGATTTACATCCAATTTAATCCAGAGTTTTGCTAAAAACATAAGAGGAGATAATTAATCACTAACTATTTCCAAAGATTCGACCTATCTAGTGCAATTTCAAAACATGGATTTTCATTTTTTAATGATATTATTTCTTACCAATCTGACCAAATGAATCTTCATTTCAGTCAACTATTTTATGTATATATACATATTATATACGTATAATATTTAATAAATTAACAAAATATGTGGAGGAACGTCCACAGTTTTGCATGAAGACTAGTGAAATTCATGATACGTGTCAAATAGTTTATAACTTATATATACATACACAATTACATACAAATCAAAATTGGGATGAGTTTGGTAGAAACCCATCACACCAAGCAAATTAGTTGTTTAGCTGACACTATTATAATTTATAACAATTGATTAGTGAATTAAACCATTAAAATTAGTAATTAATTAATTAATTAATTAATTAATTAATTAATTAATTTTGGTGATATCACATGCACTTTTAAACTAAACCCGGCCATGTTGGGGCTCCACCCGACAAGGAACCTTAGTTGAAGAAGCAATATTTCTAATCTAAACGTCCATTCTTTTCTTTATTATTAATTTATTATTTTCTTTATTAAGTAAGAAAAAAGTGTGATTTGAATAATCAAAATTGATTAACTAACTTTGGACCTAGGTGACAAACATGCTAATTGGGATTAATTTTAATTTTAATTTTTTTATGCAAAGTGGGATTAAGCAATATTTCTAATCTAAACGTCCATTCTTTTCTTTATTATTAATTTATTATTTTCTTTATTAAGTAAGAAAAAAGTGTGATTTGAATAATCAAAATTGATTAACTAACTTTGGACCTAGGTGACAAACATGCTAATTGGGATTAATTTTAATTTTAATTTTTTTATGCAAAGTGGGATTAATATTAATCACTTGAAATGTTAATATTATAATCTAATGTCAAAATTGCTTAATTATATCGGTTAAGGGACGAAATTCTCGACGTTGGGTAACAAATACATATTTAGTGTTGATTGACCACATATCTTATCTAAAATTTCAAAATATTGGTGAAGTGAATAATAAATATCCAATAGTCTTCAGTTAAAGTCGCGTTACATTCTGAAATCTAATTTGCAAGTATAATTTCTAAAATGAGTAGCGATGATATTCAAATAACGAGACTTTTCATTTGTCAAACTCTGATACCATGTTGAATAATCATCTCATTTGAAAACTTAATTTTTTTGATCATTTAATATATAATAATAAAAATCAATAATTAGTATTGACAATTAATTACACATAACTATCACTAAATGGCAATAGCAAAAGCTTAAGAACATTGCATATTATCAACATATATAACTCATGAGTGACAACATTTATAATTTGATTACAAATGTCAACACAGACAGCTGAAAAGTAACTCCACTTAGAAATTTTACAATTAAATTTACAAATTTATTATTTAGCAACTATACACATTAGTGGAGCCAGGACTGTAAAACCGGAGGTGGAGACTAATGCCTATGAACCCCTTTGGCCATGTGCTGGCTCCGCCACTGTATGTAAATATATATATATATATATATATATATATATATATATATATATATATATATATATATATATATATATATATATATATATATATATTATCACAATAATTGATTAATTAATTAAAAGGATGTATACATTATTTTGGAAATAACTAGATTATTTCTTAATAAAAATAATTGAATTGACTAATACTAAGCAGTGTGAAGTCATTTTTCAAAATAATTGGTTCTTTTCTGATTTGTAGTTCTTTCCAACAACTCACTGCACCAGTTTACTCAAAACACATAAAATATAAAAATATATCTTAAAATATTTCATTAAATTAGCCAATTAAATTGTGAAACGCTGAGCGTATCGAGAGGACTTATGTCATCGAATATTGGAAAAGAATTGCATATCGGATATATAGTTTATTTATTTTATTCCACACGGTGTGTTATTGGTTAATATTTATTCAAATTTAAATGGAGTATAAATATTTAAATTAAAATTATATATTAAATAAATAATTGGCATGCAATATCTAATCAATGACGAAGAATTGCGTGCATGGGGAATCCTCCTCCTGGCCATAGAACAGACGCCACGTGTCCTGTTTGATGACTTCCTTTGCTTTGGACTTTTTCTGCCCTCGTTTAATTTTCCTTTTCAACTGACCGTTGACTATATATGGAGAAGACGAATTCTCCATATTGCCCTTGTCATTGATTGTCGCTAACTCGCTATTATGGAGATATATAGTAGATGAATATATATAAATTTTGTTTATCAATTTGCCTAATGGTAATAGTTATCAACTCTTCAAATTAATGAGGTTTGTGAGACTACATTGGTTCATGAAATGTGAAACGTCGTTTCAATTATATTAATATCATTTTGACTTCGAACGTGATTTTGACCGTGTTGCAGTCTGATTTTGCAAAAAAATAGATAACGGTAACTATATTTTTTCGAGTTAGTTTTCTAATTCAACCTGAATAAGCTAGATTGGATGTCGGGTGATAAAATTATGCATGAATGAACTACATTTTGAATTTTAGATAACTTTTTTTTTTTAGATAGAATTTTAGATAACTCAAAACATTAAAGATACGGACAATGTTCGTTGATTAATGCTTATCTTTCTCACACGAGATTCAGTCTTGGTGATTCAAGTTGAATTAGAAAATCAACTCAAATAACTACAAATTCCGTATTTTGAGTTTTGCCAAGTCCAGCCTCTAAAATAGTCAAAATCAAATGACATTTTATTAAAACTGAAACGACATTTATCACATCACAATTCCTGAAATATATATATATGTATGATCAAGTCTATATAAATCATAACCGTAATTATTATTTTCTCCTTAAAAATTCATTTTTTATTACAAAAGAGAACTCTTCTAATTAGGGAGTTTTGGTTACCACACCTAGCATATAATAGTACTCACTTTACATTTTACTATAAATCCTCTCCAAAAAAAAAAAACAAATTATACAAGAAATCCAAAATACTCAAAGTCAATAAAATACATATTTTTTTTTTAATTTTAATAAAAGGGAAAAGGGCATTTTAGTACAATGTTGAGTCTTCCCAAAATGGCCACGTCACCATTAATGAGATGGACAAAAAGTGGGAGAAGGCCAGCCATATATATATATATATATATATATATATATATATATATATATATATATATATATATTATATGTGTGTGTGTGTGTATATATAGTTAGAGTTATTTGGTAAGATTTTTTAGGGAGAGGCAAATCCAAACATTTAAGAAAAACATTAGTTAAATAAGATAAAAACACAGAATTAATCAGAAGAAGAAAATGGGAAGATCTCCAAGCAGTGATGAGAGTAGTGGTCTGAAGAAAGGGCCATGGACACCTGAAGAAGATGACAAACTCATGCATTACATTCACAAACATGGCCATGCCAGCTGGCGATCCCTTCCCAAACTTGCTGGTAATATATATATATATATATGTATCTGTGTATGTATATGCATGTGTGTGTGAAGCTGATCATCTTTTCATGGTATGTGTGTGTGTGAAATATTTGATCTTTTCGTCGTTTTTATTAATGTGTGTCCCCAGTGGCGGATCCAGGATTTTTGCCAAAGGGGTTCGAAATTGTAGAATAAAAAATTTAAATATCACTTTATAAAAAATAGTGGACCAAAAATTTATAATTTACAAATTTTAGGTGAATTGTGTAAATATTTAAACACAAAAAAGGTGAAAAATGTTAAGATTTATAAAAATAGTGGACCAAAAATTTATAATTTACAAATTTTAGGTGAATTGTGTAAATATTTAAAGACAAAAAAGGTGAAAAATGTTAAGATTTCAAAAAAATTTATAATTGTGAAGATGGGGTGTAGAACCGGGGACCTATTAGTTAAAACGCATACCTTTACCACCTCAACCAACTGCAGCTTCTTTTAATTTATGTATAACCGTACTATTTATTCACAATCAAGGGTGTGCAACTGCACACCCTAGACCATAGCTAGATCCGCCACTGTGTGTCCCTCCGTATCAAATGAATAAAAAAAATTATTCGATATTATCTGTCACTTAACTATTTGCATATTCAAATATATATTAGCTTTTTTTTCTTCTATTTGCTCGGCATTATTAGTCATACGACATTTCAAAGATTAATTCTTACGGGCCAAAAAAAAATCCTCCGGGAGTAATTAATGGTACTCGGACGACATTTTCGTCGTATTATGTGAGTTTTCTTAATGCATGTAATGAAACCAGAAACGATACTTATTTTGAAACGGAATGGGTAATTAAATTACATATATGATTAATATACTTAGTTAAAAACTAACATTTTTGCATCGTTTTTTTCGCCATTTAATTTGATTAAAGGTTTAAACCGATGCGGGAAGAGTTGCAGATTGCGGTGGACGAACTACTTGCGACCCGATATCAAAAGAGGCAAATTCTCTCAAGAAGAGGAGCAAACAATTCTCAATCTCCACTCCATTCTTGGCAATAAGTAATTAATTTACAAAATAAGACCACATAATTAAACAAATATTCAATATTAATTTATAATAACTAATTAATTATTTTTCGGAAAAAATAAGGTGGTCGGCAATTGCAACACACCTACCGGGAAGAACAGACAATGAGATAAAGAATTTCTGGAACACACATCTGAAGAAGAAGCTGATCCAAATGGGTTTCGACCCGATGACCCATCAACCCAGATCCGATATTTTCTCGACCCTGCCCCATCTCTTAGCTTTGGCTAATCTCATCGTCGAAACTAACCCTTCATGGGAGGAACAAGCCATGCGCCTCCAAGCCGAAGCCGTTCAAATGGCCCGGCTCAACCAGTGCCTCCACTACATTCTCCAGCCACCACCACCGCCGCCGCCGCCGCCTTTCCAGAACGACGGCGGCATCAACACTAATACTATTCAGGATTTGGCTAGCACTTTAAGCCTTTTGAACTCGCTGAACGAGGGCTCCAACAACATTTTGAGCCACCACCTGGAAGCGGCGGCGCCGCCGCCGCCGCCGCTCGCCGGCGGCGGTTATCTTCAAGAATCGGCTCCCAGCTTCTCGCATTTGCCTGATTTACAGGACTTTCAGACATCTTTCTGCGGCCAAGGGGAGAATTCGAACTCACCGTCTTCTCCATGGATGCTGCCGGATCTTTCTGCATCTGCGGCGGCGCCGCCGACGGAAACTTCCATGACGAACATCACGGCCGGCGGCGACGCTTGCAGCACATCCAGCTATGGAGGAGCTCAAATGTGGTCTGAACTTTTGGACGATCCTCTCTTCCATGAAATTGCTTAAAGGTTAATTTGGGAATTTTTTTTTTTTTTATCTCCATTTCAGTTAATTTTTCATGAGATTGCTTTTTTGTGTTTTTCTATTTTATTTTTTTCTTTTCTTTTTTCTTTTGTTTTTTAACGTAGAAAAAATTAACAAATTATTTTTTTAAATTTGTACTATGGCCAATTTTCTTGATGGTGGTTGGCCAGCTACACACATTTAATTTCTTCCTATGTTTGATTTTCTTTCTTATGTACATAGAATTTGAAGGAGCCATAATGCATTTATGTATAATTACAATGTTTTTTTCTCTATTTATTTTATTAGCGTATATATATTATATTACGTATATATTATTATTATTATTATTAATCATATATATAGTTACATCTAGGAAACTATTAGCGTATATATATTATATTACGTATATATTACTATTATTACGCTAATATATTTAATTATAGTTAAACTTTTTTATAAATTAATACAGTCTGGACTTGCGAAATTCTATTGATTTATCGAAGTAGTAATTTAATACGTTTTCAACGAGCCTGAACCGGAGAAGATTATTATTTACGCGAAGTTATTAATTTACTGATTATTAATAAATTAATAATGGCAAAGTATATAATGGCATGTATAAGAAACTGAATTCAACAACTCAAATCATTTTACAAATGAAAATTTATGGCATAATCTGAATAAAAATATAATTAACCTAATAGATACTTTCGCAGTGCAGAAAAAAATGGCGTAACTTTATTTTTGGATACATCAAAATAAATTATTGGCAAACTTTGAATAATCACATCTCTTTTGAAATATGTCTATAATTATTTTTATTGGAAATTTTAATATTGTATTAAAGTACTAATTTTAAAAAGTTTGAATATCTACATCAAATTATATTTCCTGAAATAGTAGCCAACTAATGCAGATTTCACATCAATTTATAGGGTAAATTACAACCACCCCTGAGGAATGGTTAATTTACTAAAAAACCCCTCATATTTGGATAATTATATATATATCCTCAACTATGATTTTGTCTTACATCTTCATTCTTATGCTGTCAAATTCAACATAATCATCTAGATTTTGTGAAATGTGCTCTAGTTTGTACTCGTTTTGTGTAAAAACACAGTTTCTGATGCACCATAATCTGATATATATATATAAAAGCTTAAAAAACACATATTATGATCATCTTGCTTCAAAATGTGGAGTTCGAATAGGATAAAACGGGTACAAAAGTGATAACAATCCATATAATCTCGAAAATTCCACTAAATTTAAAACCGTAAGGGTGGACGTGTAAAAGAATTTACCCCAATTTATAATATAAATATATGGTCCAGAATGATTGGTCAGCATACGAAAAGTAGTTTAAGTTGATCCTATGTAATCTTAGCTCGGTCTTTGGAATCAGTTGACTAAAACATTAATGTCTGACGTATAAAGGTTTCTCAAATAATAGCGGAGCCAGGTTTCTAAGTTCGTGGGAGGCGAATTGCATTAAAATGTATTACCGGAGACGTTAATACTATTATACACGAAAAAAAAATGAGAAATGATAGGGGGGCCACGACCCCTCTTGGCCATATACTAGCTCTGTCACTATTTTTCAATGATTTGAGGTGGGACCCCACGTAGTTACGAGAATGGTTATCATGTTGGGAAATATCGAGTATTGTTTCCCTTTACATATTGTAATGTATCACTTATCATTGTAAGATACTTAATGAACTGTTAAAAACAGTTTAAAGTATAATATATCATATTATAATCATAATACAATAAACATGTAAAAATTAATATTTTAGAGTCAAACTATTCATTGAAAATAGATTTAAATTCAAGTTTCAACATACAATTATTAATTAGGATAAAAGTGGTTTTTATAAGTTCCAGTTCAATTTTATACCTTTGCTAATATAAATTGTTTTTGATTGATTAAATGTTGAACAAATTTGTTGATCTTGATTGAAAGAACAATAAAAATTCAATCTGAAGCATTTTTTTCTCTTTGGACTTTGCGTTAAAGAAAAAAAAAAAGGACGATTGTCATAAAAGAAAATGTGTTGAAAATCACACAATTCGCCCAATGTGCTGAAAATTGCACAAATCAACCCAAATATGTTGAAAGTCGTACAAATCATCACAAAATATGTTGAAAATCGCACAAATCAACCTTAAATGTGCTAATCGACAAATCACCCCCTAAATAAATATCAAACTATAGTATGGCGACATCGAGCAATATTTGAGTACAATCTATACATATGCCGAGTTGTATCGTTTCTATAAAAATTGTGTCGTATCGCAATAAAAAATAGCGATATTGACTACACTGGTTACGAAACACTATTATATATGTTTCACATAAGCTTAATTAAACTCTTACACTACACAATTTTAATAGAGAAAGAAAAAGAAAAACCAAATATACACATCAGTGCATATTTCATGAGTGAGTAGGTGCACTTGGTTCCTTTTATGACAAGGGATTGACTATTCCAAAATACAAACGCAATTAATTACCAAAACCATTAGTCACACTAATTAATGTTCTAGAAATGATTAGGCTCGAATGGGTAAACAAATTGAGTTAGTTCTTACAACTACAAGTAACCTGTATTTTCAATGTGGTGTGGAGAAAAAAAAATGGTTTGAAACAAATTTTGATCCATAGTCAAAAGAAATTTCTTGTCAAAGCAACATTTAAACAAATTAAAATGTACGTACGTTGTGTATATACATTATGAAAATTCGTATATTTATAAGTAGTGACGGAGTCAGCATAAGGCCATGGCTCTGAACTAATATTTCTTAAATATCTATTATTTTATATAGATATATAAAAAAAATTATCGTATATAATAACAGCATGAATGGGTCCCCCTAGATTTTTTTTAATACATTCAGCCCCGTAAACTTAAAATCCTGACTTTTCTAGCGATTATAATATGTAATTTTGTCCATTATCAGTATAATTAAATAAGGCGATTGAAAAAATAGGCACCACCTAACCCACCCTTTATGTTTGATGCTAGCTCACTCAAACTTTTACTATTGTCAATTTTTTTTTTTATATTTATTTATTTATTTATTTTTCGAACAATGTATAAAATGAAGTTGCTAGTTGCTATCTTGGCCTATTTATTTTATTTTATTTTTAATGAAGAAATCCACAACCAACTATATAAGTGCACTGAGTAAATATATACTCTCGTATAATTGCTTGCAAGCCATACGAGAGGCGTAAATTACACTAGGCTAACAATATGTGACAAGCTCGACCTATCGACCGTTGTCCATATTCGAGCTTGAGTCAATTTCGACAAGATATGATATAATTATTATTCTAGTTTCAAATTATATGATATTGTTGTGTATTCAATTTTTATTTATAACTAATTAGTATGATATACTTAATAAATTTTGTCTCCAATTAAAAAACACTCGCATTTGTCTTGGAATATAAACTTATTAGAAGTTGTTTCGACAGGCTTTTATATGGCCCAAACGAGTTGAAGCCTGTTTCGATAGCCCAAACTATGTAGGATTTGAGTCCATTTCTTAAAATGAAATGTTAAATGCCACACTATTTTTACCAAATCATGTACATAATTAAAATATGTCTCTCTCTGAAATCTTCTCTTCTCCTTCCTTATCCTTATGCTTTTTCCCTAATTTTTTCACAAAATCACACATTAAAAACATCATTAGCATTTCAAGTTTGAATTTAACAAAAATCTTCACATATTCAAACTAAAATAAAGTTGGAATTTGAGGAAAAAATTCGAATTCATATGAATTTGAATAATTAAAATTGCTTAATGAAATTGAAAAAATATTAAATAAAACGGAACTCGTTTTTTATGATTATTCACGTTAAAAAATAATGAATTTTGAGTGACTTGGATAAAATCATTTTAGAGAGAAGTTAGAGAAACTTTAAGTAGAGAGAGATTTTTTTTTTTAATTTATGTGTGAGATTTAGTAAATTTTAGTGTAGGATTTAGCACGCCCCTTTCTTATATATATATATATATATATATATATATATATATATATATATATATTGGGTTTATTCTAAATGGTAAATTGTTGTCACCCCTGAGGTAAGAATAAATTATAAAAAAATCCCTTATGCTTGGGGAATTACAATCACCACTCAATTATGAATCTTTTTACACGTTTATCCTTGCGGTGTCAAATTTAGTGGAATCTTCTAAATTATGTGGAACATTCTCCAGTTTGTACCTGTTTTTACCCCATTCGAGCTCCACATTTTAAAAAAGGATGATCATAAGATGTGTTTTTTGGCTTGTAAATATCAGATTGTGGTGCATATATCAGAAACTGTATTTTCGAACAAAACAAGTACGAACTAGAGAACATTCCACGGAATCTTCAAGATTATGTTGAAATTGACACCATAAGGGTGTACGTGTAAGAAGATTCATAGTTTAGTGGATAATTGTAATTATCCAAACGTGAAGGGTTTTTTCGTAATTTAACCCTATCTCAGAGGTGGCCGTAATTTACCCTATTCTAAATGATATTTTGTGGCTTGCAAATTCATTTTTTTTATTTAGGGTAAATTACACCTACACCCCTAAGGTATGCTAAAATAACTTTAAGATCCTTGTAGTCTCAGTAATTACACTCACGACCCTCAAACATTGTTAGAAACTCTAATAGAATAATGCATTGGATAAATTATTAGGGTTCTAAATGATTATTAGTTTCAAATAGTGGTGAAGACCACAGAGAGTTAGGGTGATATGGCTGTCCTAACATTTCTTAAAATCCTTATTATTTCACATAAGATTTATAATTTTTTGTCTATGGTAACATTAACAGTCACACGGGTAATAAATATATTGCATATTTGTCCCCAAAACATGAATTATTATCTCTTGTAATTGTTTCTGGGTTGTGGTTGTAATTACCAATACATCAGAAACCTTAAAGTTATTTTAGCATACCTCATGAGTGTAGCTGTAATTTACCCTTTCTATTTAGTTAACGAACATTACGGTGTACTAGGTAAACCTCCACTCTCGGCCAAACTCAAAAAGTAAAAAAACTGTGTATGTATAACACAAAAAATGGCTTGTTTAAGTACTAAAATAGTGGAAAAAATTATATATATGAACGAGAATCGAATAAGTCGTATAATACAAGAATGAAAATCGAATACGTCGTGTAGCGACACCAATCATACAATTAAAAAGAGCTTTTTATTACCCTTGTAATATTATCTTCCACCAGACAATTCAATAGCATCCTGGTTGTATATAGAATCTTCACCCCAATCGAATCTTCTCTGCAGCCTCTCGAATTCTTGCCGCCTCGTCACCTCCACATGCTGCCACTCCTCCCACCGCTCCGCCAGCCCTTCGCCTTCGAGCATCCGCACCACCTCCGACATTGCCGGACGTTCCTCCGGCGAGGATTGAGTGCAGAGGAGTGCCACCTGTATCATCATCTCCACTTCTTCGATGTTGAAGTTTTTACTTAGGTTTCGATCCACTATCGAGTCGAGTTTTTTCTCCCTTTGCAGTTTCTTCACCTTCAATATCCAATTTTTTTAAATAGGATTAAAATTAATTATTACAATAATAATTAATAAATTATTATTATATTATATTATTTAATATATGTAATAATAAGGCTTGAAAATGAGATGGAAATATGTAAAAGATAACTACTTATTAAGGTCTCGTTTGGTTGTCAAAACAAGATAAGATTATGCAATTTTACGAGGCTACTTATATATAATTGAACTAAGGGAGCTTATACATGATTTTCTAGTAAACTTAGGCCTTGTTTGGCTGGTAAGACTAGTCATGATTAATGAAATAATTGGAACTTATTGGATGTTTGGTTATTCCAAAACTTTTCGGGCAGACCCACAATTTTTTGGACCTCCCACCGTCGAACAATATAATTGCGTTTTTCATCAGATTATTTAATCTTATCTTGGCTAATCTTATCTTAGGAACCAAACGAGGCCTAAGATGAGAGTCGGGAAGTCATTCTTTTGAAACTTCGGACGACCCCCAAATTTTTGGACCGGCCAAAAATTATTGGACTAAGCAAACATCAAATGAGGCCCAATTATTTAATTACTCGTAACGTAAGAAATTACGAGTAAAAAAACGGGCGCCTTTTCCCTCTTTATTTCACAAAATAACTTCATATTTGACTCGTTTAACTATTAAATCAATCAAACCAAGCCAAACGCATTCTTTAGAATGAGAAATAAAAAGTAAAAAAAAAAAAAATTAATAAAGACAATATATGTTAATTAGTAAACTTACGTGGTCGAGCAATAAGACATCATCTTCTTCTTCCAAGCGCGAGAAGTCAATTGCCCGTTGACCAGTCACGAGCTCTAAAAGTGTGATTCCATATCCAAAAACATCGGTTTTTTCCGAAGATTTTCCGGTGGATAAATACTCGGGAGCAATGTGGCCCATGGTCCCACGAACTTGAGTTGTCACATTCGTTTTTCTTACATCGACTAACTTTGCTAAACCGAAATCACCGACTACAGCTTCGAAATCTTCGTCCAATAAAACGTTTGCAGCCTTCACATCTCGGTGGATGATTTTAGGGTTGCAGTGTTCGTGGAGGTACTCTAGTCCACGAGCTGTTCCTAGTGCCACCCGTTTTCTTGTCGGCCAATCAAGAACGGGCTCGCCAGGTGTCAAATCTGCGAGAAAAAAAAAACACTAATTAATGGAATAAATTGAATTTCTACATTATAGGATACGGCGAAAGTTCATATTTTTTTTCGGAAGTAAAAAATAACTTGATCACTAAAGTTTCGGAAATTTGGAATTTCGGAATTTTTTGGAAGTTTTCATTAATTTGAAAAAATTAAATAAAAAACACCAATAGCATGAAAAGATAATCTCCCGTTCCGACTTCACCCCTAATTCCAATTAAAAAAATTCATAACGAAAAAAATTATTCCAAAATTGGTTAATTATTTATCGGAATCGACGAAAATTGGAATTATGTTCCAACTTTACCCCTAATTCGAGTAAATAGTACGAAGAGATACAAATAAAGTAGATACCTCGTAAACGAGAGGCAACACTCAAGTTCTGCATAAAAGGGTAAACCAAAAGCCGCTCGGTCGGTGTGGTGCAAAAACCGATGAGTCGTAGCAGATTCTTGTGAACAGCCACACTTATCATCTCCACTTCACGTTGGAAAGCTGTGTCGCCACCTGGACTTTCGAAATCGGTCAAACGTTTGACCGCAACCTTTGTGTTGTCACCTAAGATTCCTTTGTAGACCTTTCCGAAACCACCTTGTCCTAACACATTCTTCTCGCTGAAACTGTCTGTCGCCAGCTGTAACTCTCTCCACGCAAATCTCTTCAGTTGACCAAATTCAATTCTCCGGTCAACTTCACCTGCGCATGAATCATTTTGAGTTTTCTATATATATATATATATATATACATATTCCGTGTAGGGTAGAAACAGGACAGATCGAATTGGAATTAACACTTTCGAAAAAATTCTTTTTATTTTCGAAAGTGAAACTAATTTCAATTTGTTTACAAAAAAAAAAAACGGAATTTAGGAAATTGGGATGAAAAAATTTTGTTCCAAAATCGGAAATTTTTCAGATCGGAATTGGCAGAATTCGGAAATTCCATTGTTTTAGCCGCATATAATATAAATATATATGATAATACCGATACTATTAAGTATCATTTTCGGAAAATAATCGGAATTTTTGGAAACATTTTTTGGAAATAAAATGGGATTGGAAATCGGAATCTAATATGTATCCATTTCTGTTCCAAAATAATTTGGAAAAATCGGTATTCATAATGAAATTTTTTGTTGCAAAATCCAAAATTTCAGATTTGAATCTTTGGGTTTCGGAAATTCCGTTCCGATTTCCAACCCTAATTTTCGTGCGTGTTACGGTGGCTTTTTTTCTAGAAAAATAAAAAATAAAACAAACCTGCAACATCGACGAAAACTTCACGCTTGTATCCTTTATGATTTCCCTTCCATAGAAATAAAACGAGAAAACCTCCGAGAAGAAAAATAACTAAGAGTGCCCCCACAATCCCTACTATCATCACTGTCTTCGATTTACTCGAATGACCTGTTCACATAGAAATTTGAAATATATTTATTATTTATGAAGGATTATTATTATTTTTTTTTTTTTTTGCTTTATTAATGGAGAAACACAAATGTAAAACTAAAATGAATATCTACCTCCATTTTCAGATACGCAGCCGTGTAGAGGATTAACGCCGCAGTTCAATTGATTCCCTGTAAAACTGAAACAAAGTAAATTTTAGGCTCAATCGATCAAAATATAAATAAAGGGTAAATTACGGCCACCCCCTGAGGTAAGGTCAGATTACGAAAAAGTCCCTAATTACAACCACCCCTCAACTACAAATTTTCTTACACGTCCACCCCTGCAGTGTCATGCAGTGTCAAATTTAGTGGGAATCTTCTAGATTATGTGAAATATTCTCCAGTCTGTATCCGTTTTATCCCATTTTTTCGAGCTCCACATTTTGAAACAAGATGATCATAAGATGTATTTTTTGCCTTGTATATATCAGATTGTGGTGCATCAAAAACTGCATTTTTGCACAAAACGAGTACAAACTATAGAATATTCCACGGAATCTAGAAGATTCTGTTGAATTTGACACCATAAGGGTGGACGTGTAAGAAGAATTATAGTGTAAGAAGAATTATAGTTGGGGGTGGTTGTAATTACCCAAACAAGAGGACCGTTTTCGTAATTTGACCTTATCCCCTAAATAAATTAGCCCAAAAAAAATGAAAATATACGAATGAGTTCTTACTTATATTTGGAAATCTTGAATAACTGCTGAGGTATTTTGCCACTTAGACTGTTCGAACCAAGCTGTCTGAAGAAAAAGATGTTCGACAAAATTAATTTCAAGAAAAGTTCAAAATAAATTTCAAGAAAATATATATACATTAGGCCAAAATTAGAGTCACTCACAAGTTGACCAAGTTTGAAAGACTCGAAAGTGATTCGGGAATTGATCCGGTGAGATTGTTTTCACTTAAAATCCTGCTCGTTCGAACAAGAAACATTCATACTATTATTGACAGCATAAATAAATAAATAAAATAAGAAAGATTAAAAATTAATTCAAACCATTCTTACAAAAACGTGAGCTTGTTAAGGTTGCCTAGTGATGAAGGTATTTCTCCGATTAAATTATTATTTTCAAGATCCAACATCGTCAAGCTCGTCAAATTTCCAAACTCGTCGGGTATCTTACCGGTTATTCCATTTCCTTGTAATTGGCTGCATTGAGAATAAATTAATACGAAAACGAATTAAAATCTCGTTATTTCAACTAAATTATTTCAAACAAAAATTGAGGTATCGAAATCAAACATTTACATACAGTGTTGTCAGCATCTTCAAAATCCCGATTCTCGGCGACAAAGTTCCAGGAAATCCCATATTAGACAATGTCCTGTACAAAATATATTACATATACGAGTTTTCGATTTAAAAAAAAAATTAATAATAATAATAATATATATTCTCTTACACCGTCGTGACATTGTTTGTACTGTCGCATATAACTTTGGACCACGTGCATGGATTAACTTGATTCTGGTTCCAATCGGTAAGCTGATGGTTCGAAGCGTTAAGCGACATCTTTAACGAATACAACGCATCTCCTTTATATTAAAAAAAACATTTGATTATCGCCATAGAATATAATCGAGATAATTATACACTTAAAAATGCGATAAAGAGTAATATACCTTGTGCATCGGGAGAGACAAAAGAATTCAAACAAGCCAACACTAAGACCCCGATTAGCAGTTCCATCTTCGATAATATCATATCAACATACGACAGCTGGCGAGCAATAACCTGTTAAACATTTTTCTTTCTGCCCATTGCATGAATTTTTTTAGCACCGTGTCAGAATATGCCGAAGTTCTTTAGTAAATAAATAAAAAATGGATAAACGATTTATCGAATTCTGGATAACCTAGTACTTGTAATAGCCTAAGTTGGATCTAACAAATTTGCACCAAGTCCATATCGTCCGATTTTGGTGAAAATTGGGATTATCTACAGTTCGTTTACGAGGTACCGAATCATTGTTTGATCAAGAAATCGAATTTATTCAACAATATGAATACAAGTATACAACACAATAAATAGAAACAAAACCAGAATTAATAAACAACCAACCATGGCAACTTAACTACAACAACCCCTGCAATAAATAACTACAAAATTAAATAAAACCGACTATCGAATATTCCCTCCATAGCCATAAATTAGCAACCCAACTACCCAACTTATAAATTTAAACAAAATTTCATTGATCAAGATTCCCTAATACCTCAGCCCAACATAAAAAATTAAATAAAAAATCTAAAAAAATTAAAATCTCGAAAAGAACAAATCTTTGTCAATTCCCACCTCATAAAAACTTAAGAACATCACACACAAAGCAAAATCTTACAAAAAAAAAAAAAAAAAAAAAAAAAAAAATCACAAGTTTCAAGAATGAATTTTTTTTCTGGCTTAAATTAGAAAAAAATATAACAAAATAATAATTAAAAAAAATGAGTTGGGGAAAGTACCTCAGTGAAGGATCGGAAATGGGGTTGTTGCACTTTTAACCATGGTTAAATCTTTGGAGCAAATCTGAAGCACAAAAAAAAGAAGCTTCTGAAAAAAGCTCTTTGTTTTTTTTGGTGATGGCTTCTTTGACTATGACTCAACTGTAAGTGCGTGTTAGTGTGTTGAACTGCAATTATTACAGATCATGTTTTTTAATTTTTTTTTTATTTTGAAAAGAAAAGGAAAAGCTATTACAGAAGAGATTAAGAACTAAGAAGCACTTTTGTCTCTGGCAAATCGAGGGGCAACATGAAAGATATTGCCGGTGGTGAACTGTGTGGGACCCAGTTTGCATTTTTTTTCTTTGGTTTTGAGATTGTGAGAGGGACTGGACAAAGGGTAGTTTTGTACTTTTGCTTGTAATTGATAGGAAACTCCTTTTATTATTTTTCCGGTAAATTACGGCCATCCCTGAGGTTAGGTCAAAATACGAAAAAACTCATCGTACCCCTCAACTATATATTTTCTTACACGTACACTAGTATGGTGCAAATTTAACATAATCTTCCAGATACCGTGAAATGTACTCTAGTTTGTACTCATCTTGTGTAAAATTACATCTTATGATCATCTTGTTTTAAAATATGAAGCTCGAATGAGGTAAAACGGGTACAAACTGAAAAATATTCCACATAATCTAGAAAATTTCACTAGAGGATGACCGTAATTTGCCCTTGTTTTTATATTTCACCTTTATTTAATTTCTTAATTAGGATAGGGTTCAAGTTAAATACAATTTTAGAAACAAGGATTAGATCCAATTTAGAAATAAAGATTCATGTTATTTATTACAACCTCCCTCGGTTTAAAGTGTAATTATTAAAAAATAAATAAAAATGTTCGCTTTGAGAAATTACATTCATTCTCTGGATTTTATAAATTTTTTACATCTACATCCCTATAAAAAATTATTAATGTAAGAAATCCACAACTCACATGGGTGGATGTAATTATATAATAAATAAAAAAAAATAAAAAGGTTTTTTTTAAGTAGATACTAGTAATCTGACCCGTGCGATGCACGGATTGGAATAAAATCAATGCAGACTAATACTCTATTTATTTAGGAATGCATGTGTTTAAAAGTCGGACCAATTATATAGTAAATAAACTGCTAAAAAAACTGATTAAAATGAGTCCCTACGGCTACCATACTTTTGCCAAAAGTAACAGTTAAGTAAACAAATCTTATATTAAATACTTGATAAAAAAATATAAAATACCAAGATTAATACGTAAATCTCTTAATGAACTTTTAAAACAATTTCATGAATACAGTCAAAATGGAACCATATATTCTTCATAACACCTAAATTAAATTTCACAAATTCATAGACAATTCAAAGTTCTTTATGCATTTTAACCACCCATGAATGTTGCCAAACTTGGGAATGGGAGAATCTAAGGTACCACAAAAAGTAGACAGTCTTTTATGTGGGATAAAATAGTTTTATCCCATCTAGTGTTGCAAAACCAACACTAACTAAGAGTATGAATCTTTTATTAATAAGATTACCTCACTTGTAACTATAGAATAAGTTGGGGTTGCTCTAACAAAAATATTACAACGCTCAAGTCAATTTCAATGTTAAAAAGTCACTAATATGTCAAGAAAACTTGTGAACTAAAGATATTTCATCCCCTCAAGTAATGAGCTAGAATGTTGATAGAGTTTTGGGTTAATGGCATTTTAACCCCCAAACTTTAGTGCATTTTGCATGTAGCCCCCTAAACTTTAGTGTGCGTTGCATGTTGCCTCCAAACTAAAAAAAAGTTGCATGTTGCCATCAAACTCTATTTTTTGGAGTATCAATCATTAAAATTGCATTTTTTTGCCAAAAAAACAAAAACAAATTTCATTAAAAACAAATTCGTTAAAAAGAAACACCATGACATGTTTTAGTACATCAAATCTTGGAACCTATTTTAGGTTTATGAAAGTTGCAACAAATTTCATTTATAACAAAGTCACATGGAAATAAATTTTCTAGTTTGACCAAATTAATGAGGAAATTAAAGAAAAGCCTAAAAGTTATAGAGTTTGTATGCTTCTTTTATTTAAAAAAAAAAAATATTGACATGTGAGTTATTTTAGTGGTGAGTAATAAATCAATGTAAACTAGTGGAGGAATAGAGAGTGGAGCAATGAAGTGATAACATAATTTATTGGCACAACTTGACAATGAAAAGACTCAACAGTCAACGCTGGAAATTGAGTTTTTTTTTTATTTTTTTTTTAATTATTTAATTTATTCTTTATTTATTAAGATTGATGATGACGAGTGAAGTGCAAGGAGAAATTCATAATACTAGTAATAAACAACTTTGATACTAAATTAAGGTAGAGATTATTGGGCACTTTAAGCCGACGCCGGCGAAAACTTATCTAAAAGTATAAGTTATTGATTCTAAGTTAAGTTGAGATTAAGTGTTTATTTTTTAAAGTCGGGGTCGTTTGCAAATTGGATGAAAAATCAACTAAATTAGAAAAAACAGGTAGATGTGCTTTTCAAATTAGCTTCAAGCAGTTTATTTGTTTTTAGGTGTTTGCAAAACATGTTTTTGTTTTTTCTTCTCTTAAAATAAGTTGTTTTAAACTATAATTTTAAAAGCACTCATGTACCTATTTGTTCTATTTTAGTTGATTTTTCAGCTAATTTGCAAACACCCCAAACTTTTAGAAATAAACACTTAATTTCAACTTAACTCATAATCACTAACTTATGTTTATAAACAGTTTTTTGCAGACACCACCTAAGGTGGTGTTTACAAAAGCTTATTTAAAAACCAAAATTATGGATTGTGATTTAAGTTGGTTTTAAGTCTTTTGTTCTAAAAGTTTGGGTGTTTGCAAATTTATTGAAAAATAAACTTAAATAGAAAAAATAGGGTCATTTGTTTAACAAATTATTGCTTAAAGTTGCTTATTTTAAGAGAAGCAAAAGCAAAAGTTCATTTTGCAAACACTTCAAAATAAAATATTAGCAAAAAAGTTCATAATCTATTTGTAAAAGTTTTTGCAAACACCACATAAATTACTATTAATTTTAATTCGAACACTGTTATAACTTATAAATATGAAATATCCATATTTTCGGCCTTTTCGAATTACCGTTTTAATAGGCCAATATCTAATTGACGGGCTTTCGCCCACTTGGATCTATTTTTTCTTGTACTAAGTTGATTCAGCCATAATTGAAATATTCAACGAATCCTTCTTATTTATAAAATAGAAGACGAACATTAAGAGCTTCGAGCCAATAAAGACTAAGAAAGTTGACTCAAGAATAAATTGATTACAAGCTCCGTTGTAGAATTCTGACCTATCTATTAAATACGAAGCGGTTGGGACGATGAAACCTGTGAATGCAAAAGATTTTTTTGAAAATGAATCTTATTGATTCACTAGTCAGGATGGCGAAATGAACCGGAAGTCAATTCCTCTATTCTGAGGAATCGGGAAGAAGCGATACGATTGAAATAGAGATTGCAAGAGTAAATATTCCCCTGCGAAAACTATTAATAGGATTTCGTAATTAGAAATTTAGAGGTACCCAAACAATTACTTCTTCAAGTATTCTTAAATTTCTCTGGATAATTTTGATTTTTAAATAAACTCAGGGCGTTGATTAAGTTTTAGTTCACACAAACAAAAATTACGACGACAAAGTGTCAAAAATATAAGAAGACATGAGGAATCCAATGCGTAATTGATTCTAAAGAGAATTGAGACAAGTTGGGGGCTATGACCCCCCTCCCGTATACTGATTCCACCACTTGAGTGTGTGTATGTTAGACGACATCATTTTTTTAAATCAGATTCAGATATTGATAGAAATAAAATTAACAAAGTAATGAACATATACAATATGATATGAATCTATACAAAATCAAGTGACAAAGGTATTGAAGCACTTACACGTGGTTATTGACAATTTTGTTATTAACATTAAATTGAAGTATTTAATCAGTGCTATGACATATTGAAAATTGAGATATGATTTTCTATATATTGAAGGATAATCTAATTCATAATGCAAATTATTTCAATAGAAGTAATTAAAAACTAACTAATTGGACAATTTAGTAATGATATCTTCATTTTGGGACTCTTTGTACATACAAGAGTTTTTCATTTGGATTTTTTGTTACTTTTTCTTAAATTATTATCCACCAATAAAGTCTTCGTCTTGAAGACTAAAATAATAAAAGTAGTGACATCTGATAAACACAAAAAGATAAGAAAATAACAGATAAAAACTGCATTACAAACATCAAACTCTCTACTTGTACCACATTAGACATGGTCATTAAAACGTTATGAGAGTTGATTTATTTATTTATTTATTTATCCATATTCTATAATTGTGTCTTCTTCTATCCAACCACTGGCACAAGGCGAACACGATAGTTTTCATCGACAAAGATACAAACTCGATTGCAACAAAAAATATCAAGTACTCCCCCGCCTTGGGGAACGACAACTACGGTTACAAGGGGATTATCATTCATAATAATTCCCTTAGCTTCTTCAACAGCTACACCAATTAGATTTGGCCATATCGTATTGTACCGGTTTTGACCGCAACATTCAAAACTAGTGCATGGATCGCTTGCACAAGGGGGATAACGCGGCCATTGGTACGCCATTTTCTTTTTGTGATCTTCTTCTCTTCTGGTGCTCTCTTCTTCTAATTTGTAAACAAAACATATTATTATGAGATATTTATAGGCTTGTCATGAATTATCGAAATCATGGGTTACCATACCAATCACATATGTAATTGATTTTGAGATAAGATTATTAGTTATTACATTTGATTTTTGCTGATTTTAAGAATCTCATTTATTTTCTCCTAAAAAGAAAAGATATTATGTTATCCCTATAAATAATATACCATTTATTTTTATTTTTTAAATTAAATAGTTTAATATTTCAATATAACCGATTTGAGTTACTATAATATAATGCGAAATCAACAATAATAAATGATTGCTTGTCAAAATTAATAATAAATAATAAATGAGGTAAAAATAATATTTCACTTAATAACTTTCTATAATGGTGACTATGTACATTGAGAACACCGCAGTGACAAATCCAGTATAGGGTTAGGGTCAGGTTGGCCATAGTGTTTCAACATTTCTCAAATCTCTCGTATATAAAAATATTAAAAAATTGTGTACAATAGTAAGTTAACAATATACAGTTAAACATCTATAAATTAATCTAGTTGGGACCAGAGAAATTCAATTAATTTAGCGAATTATTAAATTATCGAGTTAATAATTTAACACGTTTTTACCGAGTCGGGACTGAGAAAAACTATTATTTAATCGAGGTTCTATTGTAGTATAATTTATTTTAGGGTAAATTACAACCATCCTCGAGGTAAGGTCAAATTATGAAAACCCCCCTCATGTTTGGGTAATTACAACTATTTCTCAACTATGAATCTTCTTACACGTTCACTCTCGTGGTGTCAAATTCAACGTAATCTTTTAAGATTCCGTAGAATATTTTCTAGTTTGTACTCGTTTTGTGCAAAAATGCAGTTTTTTATGCACTGCAATTTGATTATATACAAGCCGAAAAAACACATCTTATGATCATCTTGCTTCAAAATCTGAAGTTCGAATGAGGTAAAACAGATACAAATTGGAGAATATTTCACATAATTTAGAAAGTTCCACTAAATTTGACACCACAAGAGTGAACATGTAAGAAGATTCGTAGTTGAGTGGATTAACCTGTAATTATCCAAATATGAGGGAGTTTTCGTAATTTAACATTTTATTTTAATTAAACTAGTGAAAATATAAAAAGAAAAAAATTCTTGACAGCTTAAAAATATAATTTAACTCATTTGGTCGGTTTAATTAGTGACGTGTCCTTTTTATTATTATTATTTTTTTAATTAAAATAATAAGTTTGGCTCTTCACCATTACAGAGAAAAATCCACCTTAATTTATTTTTGACAATTCCCAGGTTTTCCGAGAATCTTTCCTCGTACAGTAATAATCAGTGAAGAAATCCCCATAGAAAAAAATGGCCTATTGTTTCAGCTTAACTTCATCAAGAGAACGTTGCTACAGATACTCCTTCTCAGCCCCGGGCTGAAAATCCGCCACCACCGACCTCGCCGGCGGCACCGTCATCCACTGCTGCCGGCCCAAAACCCACAACCCGAAAAAGCCCACCGTCGTCCTAATCCACGGCATCGGCGCCAACGCCAAGTGGCAGTGGGCCGACTTCGTCTCGCCGCTCTCCTCCAAATCCAACGTCTACGTCCCCGATCTGCTCTTCTTCGGCGACTCCTACACCGCCGCGCCGGACCGGAGCGAGTCCTTCCAGGCGCGGTGCCTGGTGCGGGCCCTGGCGGCGATGGGCGTCCGCGGCGGGATGCGGGTGGTCGGGCTGAGCTACGGCGGGTTCGTGGCGTACAGCATGGCGGCGCAGTTCCCCGGCGCGGTGGAGAGGGTGGTGATTGGGTGCGCAGGAGTTTGCCTGGAGGAGAAGGATGTGGGGGAGGGGCTGTTCACGGTGAACACCGTCGATGAAGCCGTCGGAATATTGCTGGCGCAGACGCCGGAGAAGCTGAGGGAGCTGATGAAGCTTTCGTTCTATAAACCTGTTAGGAATGTGCCTTCTTGTTTTCTCTCCGATTTTATTCATGTGAGTCTTTTTTTTTTTCTTTTTTTTTTTTGCATAATCACTATTTTAATTTTAATTTTATTTATTTATTTGTTTTAATTTTTTTTAGTTATGTTGATGAATTATAGGACCTCAGGACCTCGTACAGTTAAATCTCTATGAATTATGAGTTAAATCTCTATGAATTAATAGAGTTGGGACTAGCAAATTGTATTAATTTAGAGAAGAATTGATTTGGGGAAATACTAAAATTAAATTGTTGGTAGTTTTATAGAGCATTCGATTTCAACACATACATATAAGTGCCCACGGCGTTCGAATATGGTTCGATTAGGGGTGGAAATCGGAATGGAATTTCCAAATTCCGCTGGTTATGGTTCTATTATTGTTGTGCATGTGTTTATATTTATTGCGTTTTGTCGAACTCTCTTTTGGATTTTCTTGCATTTTCCTGCAAATTTCAAAAAGATAGAAAAATATTGTGAAAATTTCCATTTTATCCGAATTTGGAACAAGAGATTATAAACTAATGTAATTTCCAATTCTGAGGCATGCCGAAATCGGACTGAATTTTTAAATTTCCATTTTTTTTTTAACGGAAATCGGAAACCATTTTTCACTTCCGATTAATTGGAAATTTTTCAAAAGCCATTTCCGATCCATTTCGTTCGATTTCCACCCCTAGGTTCGACCCATTTCCGATTCTCCACCTCGGAGCAATTGATCCTTATATATAGATATATAATCACAATTCAAAAATGAATTGGGATGTCGTAATAAGCCGATATTCCAATGTAAAAAGCAATGAACACATACGATTGAAATTCCTTAGAAATTCTTGTTTCTTGATCTTTGTGAATATATATCATTCGTTTCAGTGGGGGAGCTAGCGTAGTAGGACCACAGGGGGGCATGCCCCCTTCCCCACATTTTTCAAAATCCAAATTTCATTATATAGAGATTTGTTATTTTTCGAGTAGTACTGTAGTATTGTCGCCCTATAATCATTATTTCGCTCAAATGACCTCAATGTGAAGCGATTTTTTATTTCTCTTGAAAAACGGAGTTTTTGTTCTTGTATGATTGACTTATATAGTTATATGTATGTCTCTAAGTTGAACCAATTTCACTTAAGTTGTATGATTTTCTTCGAAAACCGATAATGTGGTTGATGTTTACGAATACGTATAGGTAATGAATACAGAAAACTTACAAGAAAGAAAAGAGTTGATCTACGCATTACAAAAGGATAGAAAGCTTTCCGATCTGCCTAAAATCACTCAGGTCTGTAAACAATTTCCTTCCCCCGCCTTTTTTTTAATCGAAATTCTATTGTTTAATTTCTAGCAAAAGCCGTGTCTAAGAGTACATTGTGTCTCGATTTATTGTAGCCCACGTTGATAATTTGGGGAGAACACGACAAGATTTTCCCACTGGAATTGGGTCAGAGATTACTAAGGTTAATTTTCGTTAACTCACTTATATTTTCCATCCCTTTGTTGACGAACTATCTCTAATAAAGTCCGTCTTTTTTTTTTTTCTTTTTTTTTTTTTAATTATTACTACAGACATTTGGAAGACAACGCAGAGCTAGTTGTGTTAAAGAATGCAGGGCATGCAATAAATATGGAGAAAACCAAGGAATTATACAATCACTTGAAGTCTTTTGTTATCGTCTCCGCCACTAATACTAATACTAATACTAATATTAATACTGATACTGAGAATTTGAGCAGCAAAAATGCCTGCAAAGTTGATTAAAAGTTATAAACTGTCTGAATATTTTCGGTTTAAGTGGGGCCGCGTTTGTTGAAATTCGGTTGTATATCGGAGATTGACAATCGATACTAGTTTGTGGAACTCATCATGCAATTGGGAATACATTGGAAGTATCAAATCAAGCAACTGTTTTTTGAGATGATCGTTGAAAATTGATGAAAGCTCATTGGAGCTCGATTCGATTGCTTATCGAGCTAATTAATTGAAATACAACTTGTAAAGGTCGACAAAGATTTAGACAAGCTTTAATAACTATTATGCATTTCGTTCGATTTTATTCGTTTATAACCCTAGTGTATCAGCTGAATGACTTCTTCTTAATCATGTTACTAGTTTTAAACTAACATCTGTTGTTAAAAAAATGTTAAAATCATATATAAACTTTATGACATTTTGATTACTAGTGCGTGTGTGTGTGTGTGTGTGAGAGAGAGAGAGAGAGAGAGAGAGAGAGAGACTTTATAAAGCACCTGAAAATAATGAACAAAAAATTATAAAGCACCAGAATATTATAAAACAAGATATGGGGTGAGAGAGGCTCGAACTCTCGACCTCAGGATCACTCAGAAGCTATGAGACCTACGCGCTAGCCAACTGCGCCACCACCCCTTTGATGTGTTATTGATTCCGCTATAACATTTTCACTGTAAGTTGACCACGACATAGTTTTCAATCCTCCTTTCTAATTCAAAAGAATAGTTTCATTTAGACATACATTTTTTAGAGAACTATCAAAATTGAGCTTTGAGTTATTGAGTATGAGATGTGAAAAGATTCGTATTTGAATTCAAAAGCATCATCAAATCGTACAACATGAACAGTTGTAACGATTTTTTTTACATCACTAGTACATAGTAAATCGACAAAAACAAAAACAATACTTTGTATGATGTCGTAAAAATACGAAAATAAAATTTACATTTCTTATGATCATTGCATTTCGGTCCCGGATTTACATTTTAGTACAGATATACATCTCTTAGGATATATGTACATTTTTTTTTTTGGCCAAAGATTCAAATATAATGTTACAACTTACAATTATGTATCACACTGCAAAAAAAAATGATTTAATTTGCAGGAACCTCATTTTTAAGCAATGCCTCCAAATCTGTCAATCTGCATTAGCCAAAACCAACAACTTGAATGAATAAAATATTAAAAAAATATTTAGCTAGTGTTGAAGAGTATATATATATATGTGTGTGTGTGTGTGTGTGTGTGTGTGTGTATTACCTGACATTGCTCAAGTCAGGGTAGATTGCTGCTGCTTCTTTAAAATCCTATTTTTCAGAATAAATACACTTAAACCTCTATAAACTAATACAGTCGGAACTAGCAAATTCTATTAATTTAGCGAAATATTAAATTATCGAACTAATAATTTAGTACATTTTTACCGAGTCAGGACCGGAAGAAATTATTACTTAAGCGAAGTTAATAATTGATCAGAGTATTAATTTATCAAGGTTCTACTGTATACAATATTAAATACTAAAAATACTCTCTTTAAGAAATACTTATTTGCTAACTCATATATAATAACCAATTAGCTTACCTGGTCAGCAGTTGACGACGTATAAGAAATCACACACGGCATTCCTGCTCCAGTTGCAGCCTACAAAAACGGGCTGCGCTCAATAATAGTTTTTTTTTTTTTTTTCTTTTTGCATGTTTCGAAATTGATCTTAGTTTAAAGTATAAACCTGCAGCCCGATAACACTGTCTTCTACTACCATGCAATCCTTCTCCGATACGCCGAGTTTCTGCAAATCATTATTATTAAAATGGGAACTTATAAAAAAATTAGGCAGCTATTAAAAAAAGGTTAGATTAATGCAATGCCACACTAATTACCTCGGCAGCAGTCACGTAAATTGATGGATCGGGCTTCTTCTGTTTTACATCATCTCCTACAATATCAACGAAAAAGATGAGATTTTTTTTTTTTTTTTCTAGCAAAATAAATGGATGATTTGAGAAATAAATAAAATAAAGAAATTGTTCGATTTATTTAATGTACCTGCGAGGAAGCAATCGAGGCTTTGGAAGCGCTCCTGTAACAAGACGAGAAAGAGGTTTATTTGTTTTATTCGAACAATAGTTTTAACTATGATTATATGAATATTAATAGTCGAATAGGACGAGAGGTTTTCACCATTCCGATAAGATTTTCCAGACACATGATAACCGAACTTTTAGTCGCAGCAGAGCAAACCGCTAGCTTTCTTCCCTACAACAAAGAACAAAATAAATATAGCTCGCGCAACAACATTTTTCAAGTAGATGTAGTCTAATCATATAAATCGGGACTCGAATCAAGAAAATGTTTAATTTAATTAACTAAGAAAAATAAAATCAGATTTGAATTTAAGAAATGTTAAAAGAGTGCAATTCGGCCATCTTAAATACTGCCGTCACGTATGGTCGGGTTCT